GAGAATATAAGTCAAAAAGTTAGATGTTATGCAAAGACGAATAAAACAATGAGGGCGTTTTAATCGTTTCTGTGAGAAATAACAAGAAGGATTAATGGAAATTTGCGATGACATAACATTAGCAGCGTATATTGGATGTTGTGCTCATTAAAATCGATGCAAATGTTGTGCTGAAAATCATCACTTTTTTAAATTTATGAATAATATGATGCTTTGAGATAAGATACATTAATTGTAGCGTATCATCCACGTTGTTCTACAATCGTTAGGCATCGATAAGATATCGTATGGCCATTTCGCACTTCGTTTGATACAATTTCCGATGGCACACACCACGACGAACAGCGATTGTTACTGGCTTCACGGCAGTTATACAATGCGCAATATCTATGAGAAATATTTCAGCAACGCCGCTTCATGCTCACAACTTCGGTAACGTTTATCATTAAGCACTTGCAGTCATTCGTTCGATAAGATCACATTATAGATCAGCGGCAGAAGTATTAATTGGAACATAAACATCCATTTCGCATTTGTAAAAAATTTCCATGCACGGGAGCATGTTCCACTTCAAATATATGAAGTTTTTGTGAAAAATCTGAAGCATTCTTTTTGACTGTAATATTCTCGCTCAAAGCAAGCTGTCTTGATTCAACCTTCATAAAAATATCAAAGAAAAATCACTTAAATCATTTAAATGTGAATTGTTCAGTGTAGAACCATATGTTAGCAAATGAATCCTCACGAATTAAGATCTCTGTTTCGGAAAAAGATCCGAAATTTTTTTAAAATCAAAGATTTTGTTACTCATTATGATTGAGTCTGATTTCATACGACCAATATTGACCTGTACGATGCAGATCATTTCAATAAATGGATCGGATTAAACAATTTTCGAAGGAAGTGAATTAATGCTGATTAATTGTTTTGAGATTCGAACTACGATTACGATTCGTACCAAGCGATCTCCAAGAGATGTATCAAACACAAGCCGAAGCGTTCATGTTTCTTCATGAGCAAGTGCTAGCCGACTATTTGGCTCAGGTGACTAACTGATCGTGTGCTTAGTCGCTAAATTATTCGATCACATCCAATAGATCATTCCTTAAAACTGCGTTAAAACCGAAAAAATGAAAGAAAAGTTGAGGAGCTTCATCAAACTTCTTCAGTTACAGTTCATTCAATGTGGGGATATATCTTACTATTGTATTATACTTTTGGTGCTCTATGAAATTATCAGGACGATGTCCACCAATGAAAATGCACTATCCACTGTAGAAAGTCTCTTAAATGAACTTATTGAAAACTGAAGCAAGCGGATTTCGATCATACATCAACACTGAGTTGTTCGTTCGTTCGTTCGTTCGTGTAAAGCAATGCAAACGAAAAACATTAACTTTAATTCAACGTGCAAAACACGTTGTCCATGTCACGAATGTGCTTTCGCTATCATTATTTTGGACTTGAATTACCAAATAAAAGCAGCAGCACTACGAAGTGCATTGAGGAAATAATGGATGGATCATTTGAGAGCAACGCTCTCATCGCTCATCATTCAAAATGCATCAGCATTAGTCTGTTTGTGAGTATATGAAAATCACAGCGGCGCATAAAACAAGCTCACAAGGGAGCGATTTTCATTTTCACACACACACTTGTATGTGATAAATCTTCGTGGAAACATTCCTGGTGTGTATGTGAGGGAGAAAACAAGTCAAGTCGAAATTTTAGTTGTGATGATAACGATGATGATTATACCGTTGGAAAGCTTAACAAGAAAAAAAGAGTGTCATACGTTAAGTCATAAATCGAGTTAAACGAATTATTGCGATTGAATTGCACGAAATATTGCTACTGCTGATCCATTGCTGTGCTTTGCAACGACGGATCAGTAGCAGCAGCAGCAGTCATAAAGTCAGTCATAAACAATGCCATAAATAAGCTGAATGGTTGCAAAGCAATTGTTGTTGACAACGGCGAGCGAAAACTCGATCGCTCGCTGTAAATTGACTTCTTACAACTTAACGATTGGAAATGTTGAAATGAAACGAATGATTCCGTGTGCTACTGCTGTCTCTCTGGAATTTCGCTAGTTAGAGGGATGATGCATTATTTCAACTGAGATTACATGCAATTTCGCAATGAATGCAATTGAATGCAAGCAACTAAGCGAGATCTTTGTAAGACACTGCTTTCACTCTAAAAGTAATTGCTGATAATGACTTCAACAAATCTGAACGAAAAATCGTTTACGATTAGTGCCGAGGTATTTAATGAGTGTGGTTAATTGCACGAATAACATTCACTTTTTCTATCACAAACTATAGTCAACCCAAAACTGTACTATAACACAAATTTCGGATATGAGTGTCACTTCCAGAAGCGCCAGTCGCCAAAAACTTAAGATTTAAGCATCCACTGGTTCAGATTCAATCGCTGGCTGGTTTGAGTAAATCTGAATCGGATTCAACTGAAACTTATTTGGTTATAGCATGAAACTTTGCTTGATGCTTGCTTGATTGATTCATCTCACATTTCGTAGTGATGCTTGCATGCATTAAAGAGTCATTAGATTTTATCTAATGGTCTTACAGTCAGTCTCATATGAGAACGTTAAGCAAGAATTATCAAGGAATACATGAGAATTGTATCATATCATGAAGAGATGATTTGTTTGCGTTTCAGGTCTCATGGAGATTACCAAACGAAACAGCAATGGAACTCGCCTCACTTCAAGTTCGAAAAAGGCTAGGCAATTTAAATGTGTAAGACATGTGAATGTTTCATTGCTGCAAAAACATACCTATCATAATTATTATTCTCTTATATTCCATTCCAGTTGTCTTCCGAAAGAAATTGCAATCACATTACACAAGATCTCATTTTCGTGCAATTTTTATCAAACTGACTAATGATCTAGATCAAAAAACGATCGACTAGATGCAATTGTTCCTTTATTGACGAACCTCATTCAGTCCTTCGTGCTTCTACTGCATCTGCTGATTGTTGTTGATTGGTGCAGATATTCGTTCGTTGAATAATAGCAAAATATTTCAGATTAGCAATAGAGAAAAACGTTAGCTTTGAAGAGTTGGAAGCTGAAGGCATACTGACGCGATATTTGCCTGAAACAATTGTTGTCAATACGAAGGTCCATTCATCCTTTATGCTTTAGGTTTTCTCAAATTTTGTTGCATTGCTAAAATTAAAAATAATGAGAAGAATTTCATTCATGTCGTTGCTAGAAGAAAAAATGATTATTGCTTGTTTATTATTTGCAGTGTGCGATAGATTTGTTCTCTAATTACGTTTTTAGATCGCAATTTTTGGCAGTAGTGATTTTTTCAACATTCAGATCGCAATTGTCTTTTGTCTATTGCAAATAAATCTAACTTAGATTTCACAAGATATTCCTTTGTTATCGCACAGTTTTATCCACTTGATTCATTTGTATTGCATTAGCAAAGCAACTGATTTCTTTCTGTGTACTCTACGGAAATGCACATCAAGTTTGACGATTCGATCCGAAACATTCTATCGCTGAAGCAAATGAATGTTGATTTTGTTCAGTTGCGTGAACGATAATTAATTAATGAATGATTTTTGAGTTCAGCCGAAAGCACTACGCAAGTCGTTATTGTCAGCAGTTAAGCGTAACGCAGCCCTATCACCAACCGAGTGTGTTCTGCGATTCCTCAAAATCGTTCTGAAAGTATCACAGTTCGATGTGGAAATATTTCGAGCATCACTTGGGGTCAGCTGCACGCACGTTCAGTGTCGTCGTTTTTGATGATTCAGTCATCATGGAAGGAGAAAAATTTTGAAAATCACTCAAAAATTCAGCAAAATATCAGAAAATTCCCACAATTTCATTTTCTGCAAACGCTCTCAAACCATTCACAGAATTGAGTGATATTTTAATGATATTTAAAATATTTTAAAATCAAATGATATTTTAATAAAATTTAAATAATAGACGTATTACAAGTCAGCAGAAAAACTGATAGATTAAAGAGATAAATGTTGATTTGTAACTTTTAGGCAGGATGGACATCACCGGTCGATATACTTGTTGGAATGCGGATTGGGATTTCGTTCAATACCGAAATCCAATGTGCGGTGAATTTTTGCCCTGATCTTTTTACGCGCAATTTTTTTCGTTAACTTTTAGCGATTCGTCTTTTTCCCAACAGCACATTATTTCGCTATAACGAGAAAATTGAATTTACGAACAGTTTTGAGGCGATCATTCGAATGTTTTATTCTGATGTGTTTCTGATGATTCATTCATCCGTTCATGTGCTATGAATCAAACCATAAGAATCTAGACTTGCGAGAATACAGAGACTTGAACCGCATATTTTGAGTGTTCCAGCCCACGCTAATCACTCAACTGCACAATATCACTGAAATATCAGTGCGAAAGCTGGACGAAATATCCGAAAAAGCCATCGTACAGCTACGAGTCACCGGAAGCTCTCAGCCATTGGTATATGTGTGAAATTTAAAATATCAAATGTAGAATAAATGTCCGCTTACTGATTCAATTTGTTTGGATGACTATCACTTATTCATCGATATCCTTCATTGGAAACCACATTGTCAATTTGTTTTTCCTCGATTTTTTATGCGACATTAACTCAGATATCACGAAAACACCATACGCTCTATCAGTGATCAATCAATCAGCAAATTGTCCTCCAAAGTACCCGTCCAATTTCACTTCTTCAGCTTTGTAGTGATATATTCTGCTTCACAGAAAATTTTTGCAATATTTTCCTATAGGTTCATGAGGACTTCAGCTATTTTGCGTATTGCATTGAATTTCAGTCAATAACGTTACCGAATTGGTTAATCGCTGAATCGTTGGCACATTTGATAGATGGTTACCAAATGTTGCTGTCGCAACAAAACTCTGTTTGGACTCCGCGAGGTATTGCATCGCTTCATTGAAATCTCGATCGGATTCTGCTTGCAACTGTATTTTTAAGCGCAATCTATGAGCTCAACTCACTGTAAATCCGCTTGCGGAACAGAATTTCAAACTTTTTATCTAAATCAACAAAAATACTAGCACTGTTAACATCACATATATTCGAATTATCTATAAATATACCAATGAGTCTGCTAAAGTCATAACTTCTAGAGTTGAAATGTCATGCGGTTGCATCCGAATTCTTTGCTCAGTGCGAATCATTATCCTTGCCACGTCGACAGAATGGCGACCAACGAGCAGATGAATCCAATAACGCAATGGAAATACATCGGACTTTATCACTGAGTGAGTTTTCTGAGTGTGAATTGTATCAATTTCTCTGAGAGAGGTTCTGAAAACTTCTGTACTTCGAAGTAAGTCTATTGAAGTTTCGCGATTGGCAGTGATCTAATAAGTAGACAATGACGTACCTAAATGAATTCATTCACTACTTGTTCACTAAGATTCCTCGTGCTAAAAATTGTGCTTAATATGTTTTTCAAGAGTTCTGCTCGATTCAAATTACACTTCAAAACCCCTTCAGCCTACCAAGTCAACTACGCTGAAGGAAGTGATATTTTCAATTGCTAGCTGTTACAGATATCGATTTGCACATTGATCGATCGCGTGTATCGTTGGAGGAGTTGCTGGGTGACGGACAATTCGGTAATGTCTACCGTGGTACTTACACTCAAGAGGTACGCACTGTTTGGGTGAACATACGGCATCCGCCGAGTGTTTATAGCGCCTAATCAGGGATTTTTATATTGTTGCGTTCAGTTGATGCTATTAGAATCAACTATAACTTTGATTTGATCCCCAAAGACTGAAGTATTTTTCAAAGAAGTACAGTTATATCTTATAGTGGAATAATCAGTTATCACAGTCATTTTCAATCCTGTTTTGTTTATCAGCGATTTTTGAATTGTTCTCGTCATTCCTATCGGCAGTATAATAAGTACTTCTAAAATTTAGTCTAATACTTCACAAGCTGTGGCCGTCAAAGTGTGCAAAGTTGACAGTGAACCGTTGGAAATGCAAAACTTTCTCGAAGAAGCATGTAAGTGCCAGTCATCGTATATTTATGCGCAGATTCTGTGTGATCACAACATTTATTTTCTCGTGCCATTTGAATTTTCTGCTCAAGAACACAATTCCGGAGAAAAGAGGATGCATACGATGCGTTAATTCCACATATTTGCAGTGATAATGCGACAGTTTCATCATTCCCATATTATCAAACTCATTGGAATATGCCCTGAAATGCCTGTGTGGATAGT